GTAAAGGGATCCGAAATGAATCATAAAAAAAAAAATACATTTTTTGGATTCTCTAAGATTTATGCAATCGTTTCAGATAAAATAACACTCCATAACTTGTTATTAGCAAGAATTAGAATGAATAGAAAAACAAACTACTTTACAAAAATGAAATTTAATAAACAAACAAATTAAAATTATTTTTATACATAAAATTTACATAATAGAGTGACAAGTACATAATATAATTTTTACCGTTTAACTGACATAGGTTTTTTTATGATTTTTAAAAGTAGTCTTATTTAGGTACTACTCTTCACTCACACAAGAAACTTGTTATTTATATTTATATAATACTAGCAGAAACCGCGACTTAAGTGAAAAGGGTAGTTTCATACAAACTTTCCCTCCCTGTTTTACCCCCTTATACGATGAATTTCGAAAAATGCTAAAACACGTATTTATTTAATTTTATTGAAGAACATTAATACCAAGTTTCAAGTAATTCTCATCATATTTTTTTGGATTGTATTGTAACGTGTTTTCCCGTGGGAATGAGATAATGTCCCGCGGTAAAAAGTAGCCTATGACACTCTCCAGCCATCCAACTATCTTCACACAAAAAATCACGCCAGTCCGCCTTACCGTTTCGATGTGAAGGAAGGACAAACAAACAAACACATTTTCACATTTATAATATTAGTATGGACTAGTGTATTAACCCTCGCTTTGCTCGGATGCATCCTTACATTCGTGCACATAGCATATCTATAGTTTAATAAGAATATATTTTTAATAGGAACAATTCTGTAATGCATAGTTTTTATATAACTTCATTTAAATAATAAAGCTCCCAGTCAGCATGATTTTTTCCGACATCTTCAACAGTCATCGCCATGTTTTAGCCAATTTACAGAAAACCTTAATGAATTATACACCTAAACCTTCCTCATTAATCATTCCATCTATTGGTAAAAACCGAATGAAAATCCCTTAGGTAGTTTATGAGTTTACCGTGTTCAGTCAGACAGACGCGGAGGATGACTTTATTTTATAATATGTAGTGATTAGTTATATATTTGTATAGCAATTCTAGGTTAGAAATATTTAATCTGTCACAAATTATACGCTGACGGAATATTTTTTATATAAACTTAATAATAAATATAAATCTTATCTTATTATACAAAAGCGAAATTGTTTTTTGGTAACTTATTAATTTGTTTTGATTTAAAATTGTTGACTAAATTAGAATATATACTTGGGATCATTTTTTTATAATATTGAGTAGCGAGTATTAAAGCTTAGAAAAAGCATCTATTTTAGTAAACACTTCTAAAACGTATAATTAAAGTGTGTTCAACCATTTGTTTCACTTTTGTAAAGTTAAATAACGCGATCAAAACAATAGAACTTGTTCGCTACCACTCGTAAAATAAATCAGTGCAATTTGCCTCTATTGTTAGGTACATCACTAGACTGCCAATTATTTAAAATATTGCAATTAAAATTTAAAATATTTAAAAATTTAAATATTTAATATACAGGCGTTTATATGTTACTAGAAAGATAAAAGTAGCTTATATCACTCTTCGGGCTATAAACGATTTATACAAAAATACCACCCCGATCCGGTTGTCCCTTTCTGCGTAAAAGATGAATACTTTGTGTTAATATATCCGTATTAATATTATAAATGTGAAAGTTTGTGAGTATGTATAGATGTTTGTTACTCTTTCACGCCATAACGGCTGACCGGTTCTGAATGAAATTTGGTACAGAGATAGATTATAGTCTTAAATAGCACATAGGCTACTTTTTATTCGGGAAAAATGTACGGTTTCTGTGGGATAGGTTTGTTTTTGGTTTCCTAGAGGTGAACCCGAGCGAAGCAAGGGGGACCGCTAGTATATAATATAATGTGAAATTATAATATATAAAAATAAAATACTACGCGTATATATGTAGATATCATTTTTAAACATATACTAATATTTATATATATTAATTAGTATATGTTTAAAAATGATATCTACATATATTCAGAAATTCTTAATAATATAACTTTACTATGCGAGGGAGTAAACGTTTGGTAACAGATAAACGAAGCGTTATGTGAAATAAATCACGTGAGACCATCGGTCCCGGTGCTCGAATAAAAAATAAAAATGCCACCATCCGGAGACGTGTCGGAAATATTAACTCGACATTTGAATACTTTATGATCAGTAAAAGGAAGATTTGAATCGCAAATGTGTTCGCATTTTAATCAAACAAGTCGAATTTTACGCCTGTAAGCATTGTTTCTACGTTTATACGGTCGTCGCTGTGGAGATTGCCTACATGTTGATAACGGATATTTTATGATGAATACAATAAGCTTATTATTTATGAAGAAGAACACAAGAAATTGAAATAAATATAATATACCAATAGAATCTTTACAGCTAAAATTATTTACTGCAATTTGTAACTATTTTTTATTTAATATACTTCCCTCATACTGTCATAATTATTGACTCAGACAATAAAGAGGCGATATAGCTAAGTTTTGGAGATAGGTTAGACGTATGAAATTTTGGATAAAAGTTTCTTACATAAGAAAGATGAATATTAAAGAGCAAATTTTGAAAATTTTGATATAATTAGGGATGTAAGTTTATGTATGTACGTCATTTTTGATATTAGAAATATGAAATTATGTAACAAACTTTTTATATTACTGATGGGAATTGCCATTGGAACTCCTAACTTGGCTAATAATGAACCTAAAAAAATATCTTATAAGTTCACTTTATGTTTACTTAACCAGTTCTAACAACTTTATGTAAAACTTTAGTTTTGAATCATTAATCTATACATATAATAAAATTCTGAGTCTTGGAAAATTTTATTGAAATAGTCATTATTATATATAGATACAGAACACGATGAATCTTTCGTTTTTAGAAAATATTTTGTCTGTCTTTAATTCTTGGAACGCTTCACGAAATAACCACTGGACAGATTTTAATGAAATTTGGTATGGTAATGGCTGGTTATACGGGTCAACATATAAGATACTTTTTACTGCGGGAAAATGTCTCATCTCTAAGAAATCTATACTAACCGTTAAAATGTTCCTAGGGACAAACCCGAGCGGAGCGAAGGTATGTCGCTAGTAACACCATAATTTCTATCGTTAGTTCTCTTAACTTATATTTGTCAATGTTTCTAAGTGGCACTACAGTAATATTATTTCAAAATGGCAAAACGAAATGTTCTCTTCGAAATCATTTCCTTATTAAGGATTGTAACAAATTGAATCTCACGCCCGCTCAATCCTTTATTTCATCAGCTGTAATGCGACGAGAAGATTATTAATCGAAAATTTTCCTTCCCACCGTCCCCCCTAAGACCCCTGTTTTGATTTCTTAAGTAAACGTAACGTCCCACCTTCAATGTAAAGATTCATTTTATGTTTTAATAACTTGGAGTTATTTTGACTGATTTGATGTTTATGCGTTTCAGGCGTAAAATATTGAATTTAATTCATCAAATAAATTATAATATTTACAAGAAAATGTATTTAATAAAATATTTATTAATTTTACTAGCAGAACCCGCAGCTTTGCTCGCGCTAAAAATATACAAAAATTTTTTAAAAATGTATTTTCGTACATATTTTCATTCCCTATTTTACTCCCTTATAGGATGAATAACGAAAAATGCTAAAATACGTATTTATTTAATTTTATTGAAGAACAATAATACCAAGTTTCAAGTAATTCTGATCATAAATATTTTTTTGGATTGTATTTTAACGTGTTTCCCGAGAGAATTAGATAATCTCCCGCTGTAAAAAGTAGCCTATGTCACTCTCCAGCGCTCCAACTATCTCCAAACAAAAAATCACGCCAATCCGTTACTCCATTTCGACGTGAAAGAAGGACAAACAAAAAAACACACTTTCACATTTCTAATATTATGTATGGAGTATGGATACATATAGATCTTATATCAAAAGTGGATGTATCAAAATTATCACATAAATGGAAATAATATAAGTGAAGTAAGCTAAGAAATAGTTTGTTATGTACATTGTACAGTCTTATACTAAAATTATAGAGTATACTTAACAAAGTGCGTTTTTTAAGCACAAGTCGTAAAAGTAAAATGTACTCGTAAGCTTGTCTATAAACTTGTGTGGCATGCATTTATCATCTTAAATTTTCGTTAATCAGATAACTTTATACATAACAAATATTTATTATTCTTTATGTCTTATTGTCTCGAAATTGTTTAATTATAAAAAATATCATATTATTGTTACAATAATAAACAAATATTATCTTAAAAGAACAATTGTTGAGTTTCTCGTCGACTCTACTCACCAGAACTGCCTTCCGAGTCAGTGGTAGATTCCTCGCGGACTAATCAGTCCGTTACATTACACTGACATTTGCTTTAAATTTAAAATGTAAAAATGACGATTCAAAAGTGCTTGTAAAAGTCTAGTTGAATATATGTAGTATATTTTGATTTGAATATATAAAATAAGAAAGTTTATAAACATATTTGAAAGCTTATGATTATGTCATTAAATTTAAATACTGAATTATTTGACTGGATATAAATAAAACTTGACATAAACATAAAATATCCCGGGGTAAAAATAAAGCACTCTATACCCCGGTAATGTATTCCCGTGGGATAAAAGGCAACTTTAATGTTATTATTGTTGAATGGCGCTACCCAATAACGTTCATAGAAAGCACGCGAGCGAAGTCGCAGGCACAAGCTTATATTACTATAAATAAAAAATATTTATTTTCAACTTTCTATACTTCAAATAATTTCTAAATTATTAATAATACTTACTTTTATGGATACATTGTAAATGGTAAAAATTTTAATAGACATGATCACACAAAACTTTATTGCCAGCCAAGTCTATTAGAGCTATTATATAAATAAAATGCATAACACAAAAAACATCGACAATAAGTGAATTCTTATAAGATACCATTTTTAACCAAGCAATGTCTTATACATATAATACCAATGCTCATACAAAATACTTCCAAAGAACAGCACTTCCGAATTCCTGCAAGCAAATAACTGAATACCAGCACGCATGTTATATTTTGCAATTCCCTGAAATGGCCAAACTACGTAATAATATTGTGGTCGGGTTCACATTCGGGGCAGAATCATCGATAGTCATTATCGAGAAAGCGGGTTTAAGAGCCGTCTCGGCCCCAACGGGACCTTTACGGAGGGCTCATCCCGACGCGTCCTATAACTATGCTAATGTTATTTGCGCCACTGGGCTTCACAAAACGGCGGTATCCACTAACTTGCGTTCCAAGAACGGTTGTACAGTAAAAGTACACGCCCATCTTATGAACTATTAACCCACGCGGAAAGATTTGAGCTTTCGCTGTTTGTATATCGATATAAATGAATATCAGGGGCTTTGGAATTTATTGTTTTGATAGTACAGAGCTTTCGAGTGGTTGTGTGGTATAACAGTGTAAATGATATTATGTCAGTGTTTATTATGCCAATAACATGTCTTTAGGATATATCCCTTGCGATATGACTAAAGGTATATTTGTATTTAGTAGGAATAAATATATTTAATAGGAGTATGTTACCTAATTTTCAGTGTTACTTGTTTAATGTGAGAATCGAACACGCCTCCTTCGTAAATTTAATAAAACCGAGCACCAAAACGTTTGCTAATAACAACGATTTAATAAAAAATTAAGATGTAAAATAAACAAAACTAAATAAATAAAGCTAGACTTTTACAATGTACTGTGTAAAGTTAGTTTGGATTATGATAATTTCGGTACCTTGAGGCATAGTCTATAAAATTTTAGTGTTCTATTTTAATAACAACTTCATTTTTTTTGTTTCTTTTTGTTACTCTAAAAATCCAAGAATATGTAGAAGAATGATAATTATTATTAATCCATACTTCCATATCCATTCTTACTAAATTTATAAATGTGAAAGTGTCTTTGTTTGTTTGTTTGTCCTTCTTTCAAGTCGAAACGGATTGACAGATTGGCGTGTTTTTTTACTTGGTTTGGAGGTTTGGAGGTTATCTCGTTCCCATGGGAATAGACGTTATAATACAACCCAAAAAATATTTTTCATCGGAATTACTTGAAACTTGGTATTAATACTCTTCAATACAATTAAATAAATAAGTGTTTTAGCATTCCTTGAAATTCATCCCATAAGAGAGTAAAATACGGGATGAAACTTTGTATAAAACCTACATTTTTAGAGTTTTTTGTAGTTTTAGCCCGAGCGAAGCCGAGGGAAGGTTCTGCAAGTTTTATCATAATTTTCTCTACAGAACTAGACGTGTAGTGTATGAATACACTACATGTGTATTAAAAAGTATGCAAATCTACGGTAAAGATAAAATTAAATATAAATTATATTTGTCTTCTAATAAGCTATTTTTAATGAGCTTCTGTAAAAAAAAATCATATCCTAAAAACCTGTGAATCTGTTAGATTACTTGTGATAATAAAAAATAAAAATAAACATTATATATATATACAAAGAAACGCAATACACATTAAATAGTAACGATGTTTGTTGCAAAAAACATCCTATTTTTGACATGAATGGAATAATATTTACGAATATATGGAGATATCAGTAAACAATGACATGTAGAAACTTGAGATCATATTATAAGATAAACAAACTATTTTTAACGTTTCTAAGCATTGAATAAAAGATTTCATTGAAAATCAAGTACGTGGACGACCGAGCTACTCTCAACCTTTTTTTTTTTGGAAAAGATATAAAAATTGCGGTTTTTTCATAAAAAAAACCTATATAGATATACTTAAAAAGCAAAACCTTATCTAAATACAAAGTTTGATCCAAAACATTAGAGCCATTTTTGAGATACACAAAATAAATTGATTTAGACATATATATACAAGAATGGCTCAATAAGATACTAATATTATAAATGTGAAAGTAGCTGTCTGTTACCTTTTGACGCTTAAACTGCTAAACAGATTGTGATAATACTTGAAAAAGGATATAGACTGCATTCTGGGATGGGACATAGGCTACCCTTGATCCCCGCCCCGCTTATCACGCGAACGAAACCACGGGCAAAATATAATATTATATAAAAAAAGCTCTTTTGTAAGCCCCTGGGTATTTAGCAAGTCATTAGTTTTAATAACCGCCCGACGGTGTTAAAAATTAATAAATATTTTTATAATATTTTCTTGTTATATTAAGAAAATGAAGGTTTTTAAGTTCCTTGTTTTTTTTCTGTTCGAGTTTATTCCTTTTTAGTTTGTTGCTTTGTAGTTTAATATTTTATATATACCTATATAAGTAAAATTATTTCATCCATCCGTACTAATATTATAAATGTGAAATTGTGTTTGTTTGTTTGATTGTCTCTCCTTCTTTCACGTCGAAACAGAGTGACGGATTGGAGTGATTTTTTGTATGGAGATAGTTGGAGAGTGATATAGGCTACTTTTTACCGCGGGAGATTATCTAATTCCCACGGGAAACACGTTATAATACAATCCAAAAATATATTTATTATCAGAATTACTTGAATCTTATTATTAATACTCTTCAATACAATTAAATAAATACGTGTTTTAGTATTTCTCGAAATTTATCCTATAAGGGGGTAAAATGGGGGATAAATGTTTGTATGAAATCTATCTTTTTAGATTTTTTATAGGTTTAGCGCGAGCGAAGCCAGTAAAACAAAGTCGGTTTTGTTACACCATGCATAACTCAAGAATGGCTGGACCGATTTTTATGATCATTGATTTGTTGGATTTGTCTCTGCCCTGAATACCAGAACAACTATTAAAACATCAGAAATAAAATATGGTTAACGCTGGTTAATAAATATTTATATCTATTTAAAACGTACCTAGGGACGGACCCGAGCGAAGTGAGGGTGAGCCGCTAGTAGTAGACAGTTTTTAATCCTGTGTTAGTGTGTTACGTGCATAAAATTTTAAGTTCATTTTACTATTTTAGTATTGACTTATATGTATATTTAGATGAGAAATAATGTATAAACAACTGTATGTTCATTAAAGAAATAAATAAATTATTATGTGGCTCAATTTTATATCTAAATTGTTTCAAATTTAGTGTGGATTATGTAAGGCATAACGTGCACTTGCATATCTAAGACAAGATCTGTCATACATCCCGTCAGTCTACGTCACATGTCAAGTGCAACAACATGAGGAATTATGCTTCGAAAATTATCCTTTATTGTATGTATGTAAGTTTATGTTTAGTTTCTGTCCTATATCTTGCTTTACAGACGATGACGAGTTACTTGGGTTTTATCATTTACCGCTTTCCGAAAATATAACAAGGCTTATCAATTCTATGAAATATATTATTTAAGTTTCAAAACACGGATAACGCGCTCGCTTGGGAAACCGAATGAAGTGGGTTCAAATTCCGGTTTTCGCAACTCTGATATTTTCATGTACGAATCATTTTCGACATGATTGAAGTGTCCTTCGTGTTGAAGGGACGCCCGTGACCAGCAGTGGGACACTAAAAAGGGCTAAATACAATAAATACACAATTAATCATATAACTATAGTACTTACTTTTAGACAAGATATTGGTATTAATATGTATTAAAGTGTGTACTTAACCTTATGTACACTAGGTATTTTTGCCGGTGAAACGTGAATTCTATTAAACTACCTACAGCTAAATATTAGCCTCGTTCTATACGCTATAATACAAAAAGTCTCACAAAATTGTAGTCTTTTTAAATCAAAATTAGCCGATTTAAAGAAAATCAAAACCGTAGTTTAATTTTGGCAGAGTTTTTTGCTTGTAAAAAGTTGTGCTAATTGTGAATCAACTTTTATTATTTTTTTATTGGATATTTATCTAATTTAAAGAATAATTTTATATGTTTATCTCATGATATTTGATAAGATTTTTTAATAAAGTTTTTTTTTTGGTATTCAGTGACAAACGAGCAGACAGCCAACCTGATGGAAAAGCGGTACCTGTCGCCCATAACACCTACGGTTCATGCACTTAGATTTTATGTTACAAAAATGCAGAACCGCAGGTGCGTTGTCACGGTGAGGACTAAGATGATATGCCTCTTGCCTGTAATTGCGCTGGCTACCTTATCCTTCAAACCGGAACACAACAATGTAATCATTGTTGTTTGGCGGCAGAAATAGATAAGGGGGTGTACCCATCCAGATAATTTTAGACATTTTTTTATCCTTAAACGTTTTTTATTCCAATACTTTTGTCGCTTATAATAATTATTTTGCTATAAATTAATAAGTTAGCATTTTAGTCATTTCAAATAGGAAAACATTTAAAATTAAAATATTTGGCACTTATGTGTCCAAAACAATTATTTTACATCTAGATACCACATGTTTTATTTTAAAATTCCAAATCTTATCACACTGCCATTATAAATGCAATCGCTTCCAGGCTTGTGTGTATGTTTGTTATTCGTTCACACTGAAACGGATTTGGCTGAAATTCAGTACTAACACAGAAAGTAAAACATAGGCTGTGAGTAATCAAATTTGTCAAAAGGTGGCAATATCTGTATATATAATATAACTAGCATTGCCCGCGGCTCCGTCCGCATTCAGATAACCAAAAACCATATTCTTAGGTTATACATATTAGTATACATTTACATTGCGGTTTTTGTATTTTTTCTCAAAAATGAGATTTTTAGTATCCTATATTTTGATCCGGATAACCAGTTATCACCAAACTAAATTTCATCAAAATCCCTTCTAGTGGTTTTTCTGTGATGCGGTAACAGACAGACAGACAGATAGACAGACAAAAATTCTAAAACTATAGATTCGGCTTCTGTATTGATAATAATGTTTATTGAAATAAGCTTTCCCAAAAAATATTTAATGTACAGATTCGGCTTAGTTACAATTTTATTACATGTATAGAAATATATAAATAAAATGACTAGGTTAAGTCGCTAGTAACTTTAATATTAGAGGAAGTAAACTTTTATAAAAGATAAACGGGTGATTAGAGATATAAAATAAGTAAATAAAGTAAAATATTACGAAAAACCAATACTAATATTATAAAGAGGCAGAGTTTGTTTGTTTGAACGCGCTAGTCTTAGAATCTATTAATCAGATTTGTAATTTTTTTTTTGCATTAATAGCCCGTTTATTGAGGAAGGCTATAAGCTTATATTATATAAATGATAAATAGTCCATCTATTCCATACTACCCATTAAAACGTTACGTAACTAGGGACGAATATAATAATATAGATTGAATATTGAAGAATATAATATAGATTATCCCAAAATGCTAGAGTAAATAAATAACAAAGTACATATGACAT